GAGAATACTTACGTTCTATATTTATTATTTAAAATAAAATGAAAAATCAACCGTTAATATATTTTCAAGAATAATATTGTAATAATAATGATGCAAATACTTACCAGCTATTTATTATTTAAGATAAAGCGAAAATCAACAATTAATATGTTTTCAAAACAATGATATTGACTGTAATAATAGTGAAATGATGAGAATACTTACAGGCTATATTTATTATTTAAAATAAAATAAAAGTCAGCAGTTAATATGTTTTCAAAAAAAACAATGATATTGAGTGTAATAATAGTGAAATGATGAGAATACTTACAGGCTATTTATTACATAAAATAAAACGAAAATCAACAGTTAATATGTTTTCAAAAACAATGATATTGACTATAGTAATAATAATGATGAAAATACTCACATCCTATATTTATTATTTAAGATAAAACGAAAATCAACAGTTAATATGTTTTCAAAAATATTGATATTGACTGTAATAATAGTAAAATTATGAGAATACTTACTTCCTATATTTATTATTTAGGATAAAATGAAAACCAATAGTTAATGCAAAAACAATGATATTGACTGTAATGATAGTGAAACGATGAGATTACTTACCACCTAACCATTATTTAAGATAAAACGAAAATCAAACAGTTAATATGTTTTCAAAAACAATGATATTGACTAATAATAGTTCAAAAATACTTACTATACTATTTATTATTTAGAATAAAATGAAAACCAATAATTAATATGTTTTCAAAAACAATGATATTGACTGTAATAATAGTACAAAAATACTTACGGGACTATTTATTATTTGAAACCCAATAGTTAGTATTTTTTTCAAAAACAATGATATCGAATATAATAATATTTATTGTAAAGTAAATATAATAATAAATGAAGTACTTCGCTTCGCCAAATTATTGTTATCAATTGGGCTTGCTAAAGCCATAACAGCAAAGATAATCAAAAAGAGAAGAGAAATATTGAATTTCATTTTGATTTGTTCAGATAATTTTTGTCAAGTTTTTCTTGATTTTCAAATTGTATAAGGATTACTGTAAGAGTATTTATAAAAAAAATGAAAGTGAATTTTTGTTTTCAAATTGCATGCAGTTGTTATTGGAGTTAGTATTTAAAGCTGATTTGTTGGTCGAAATATCCTAATTCCGAATTGAATCTTTTTATTTCTATTTATATCTTTATTTATTATTATATCTTTATTTATTTATTCCTTATTTCTTATTTCATTTCTTATTTTTCATTTTAATAATAAACGTCATTTAATACTTTAATATTAATATTAAATTTAGGGAATTTTTATTCGCATCCCACGCGACTAAGTGTAGCAATGTGACTAATGAATGGCTTAGCCAAATAGATCGCTTAGCAAATATCTTGATCAAATAAATCGTTGGTACTGATACTATTACTATCGTTATTATTATCACTATTATTTACTATTGTTATTATAATAACTCGCATTTAATGGTTCAAATTATTTGTTTTTTTCATTATGAACTTGAGTATTCGAATTATATTGAAAGTTTTATTCGAATAAATGAATAAAAAAAACGAATAATCCAAATAGAATGAATAATCCAAATAGAATGAATAATCCAAATAGAATAAATAATTCGAATAGAACGAATAATTCGAATAGAACGAATAATTCGAATAGAATGAATAATAATAATTCGAATTAAAATATGACTTTTATCCTGCTACGATATACAGAGGGTGATCACGGGTTTCCGAACGATTAAAAAACCGTTTACATTTATTTATTTATA